TACACGAATCAGGTATTAATTTTGTGTCTTGGCTCTCCAGAGTTGTGTCTTGCAAATCTGCGTTTTCGTGGAGTTTGAAAATTCTATTAATGCAGTGAGTGTCATCTTCCGATATTCTATTAGGATCCATCTGAGGGGAGAAGAAAAAAGACAGGATACAGAGAAATTATCTTCGATCATTCTGCCATTCAATAAAGTGTGGCTGACTTCAGGACACAAAATTCACTCTTGCAAGAGTCTTTATGTCCCCAACAATTAATAATTAATACAATCACCCTCGGTGTTGGTGAAACATTGACTTCTAATTCATTTTTATGAGTAGCTATGATTCACAGCACAAGTACACACGTGTGATTCATGGGGAAATTATTAAAATTGTCTGGCAATGAAAGTCCTCATAGAAGGAAGGAGCATCAAGGAAAATCACACGTGGTCAGTGCAGGTAGAGAAGCTTTGGTCTGAAAGTCATACACAGCGTCGCTAGATGGGATGATGAAACCCACTAGGATATTCAAAGCACGAAGCTTACGAAACCGGGCAAAATTAACACCATCTTTAGCCACCATGCCAAGGAAGGAGGGAGAGATCCATTGCCCAAAACCTAAAGCCAGAAGCAAATTTCCCTTTTTGTTGAAACTCTCATCGATATTTCTTCACCTGGAGTGGTGCGTTTGTCAGGGGGTGTGTCCCATGGGATAAGGAGGGCTGCTTGGGGCGAACGGGCTGTATGGACAGATGCTGGGGAGGGGACATGCTAAAATTTCTATAACGTGAGGGACTGTCCCTCCCAAAATATCCATCCCCCTTGAATTGTTAGCTGGTTTTCTGTCTAAACAGTTCTTCAAGTATTACTCTCCTCTTGAAATTGTCTCCTCCTGGGGCTCTGACGAGCCTTTGTAGCGGTTTCAGCTGCCAGGTAAAGGGTAGAGAGAATTAGCCATCAGTTGTTTAAATAACACTTGCTTAATTTATTGTCCTCTTCTTTCAAAAATTCAAGGTACCTCATGAGCATTTGCTTATTAATAGGTATAGACTGGATGAAAAAAGGAAGAATTATAGAAGTTTATAATATGAGCTCCATCAATTAATACCAGGTCTCTCATTGCCTGATTTACCTTTTTTAAAGTAATCAAAAAGATGTGCAGGTTTACTAACCAACCATCAGACATAAACTAGAAAGTACTCTCTCCATATCTGAGATTCTCAAATGAAATAATAAGCCTTCAACAAATGTGCAGCCACCAATACAAATTTTATTATTTCAGTCTTGCATATATAATAAGGATTATCTATAATCCTGGGAGAGGTGTCATTCACGAAGCAAAACTATTTGCAATCCATATTTATTTTTCGTATTTTCTTTAGAGGTGCCGGGGTGGCTCAGCCAGTTAGGCGTCCGACTTCGGCTCAGGTCACAATCTCGCAGTTTGTGAGTTTGAGCCCCGCGTGGGGCTCTGTGCTGACAGCTCGGAGCCTGGAGCCTGCTTCGGATTCTGTGTCTCTCCCTCTCTCTCTGCCCGTCCCCTGCTCACACTTTGTCTGTCTCCAAAGTAAGCATTAAAAACAACTAAAATAATAAGTACAGATCAGAATATGTGAGTTTTTATATAAGGAAAGCTTTTCAATCGCACTTTTTTTAAAAAGCTCACTCATGCCGATCAGTTTCCCACAAAATCAGAGACGCCTGGGCAGCTGATGTGAAGGGTCACTCAGTTGAGACCTCAAGAAAGAAGAATGATGCCAAGACCTAGTTGGCTCGCCACCAGAAAGTCGCTGAGCTACAGGAACAGGGCGGTGTTAGCGGGGAAACGCCTGGGGAGCCTAAAACTGGTTGAGCTCCAGACCTGCTGACCAACTAAGTGCCATCACACAGAAGCCGCAGTGACGGATGCTGCCTCCACTTCAAGTCCAGTCCAAACACCTGTAGCTTCACGGGCTCCCCTGGAGCTCGTTAGAAATGCAGAATCTCAGGTCCCTGGCACGCTGCCTGGGGATCTGCGTCCTAACTAGACCCCAGGCCCTCTCGACGTACGTGAACGTTTGACCAGAAATGCTTTCAAATACCAAACGTGCAAATACAGATGTTCTGCTATTAAAATGTCCCAAAATTTCTCGGACACGAATTTTTTTTTTTTTTTTTCACAAGTCATGCCGGCTGGTACAAAAATATTGTGACAGTAATAATGGTTAATGATTCGGTGCAAAGAAATGTAACACAAAGATTTTGTTCCCTCTCTCTGAGCAAGTCTCCACACCCAGGTGCCACCCTCAGCCAATGGAACCCACATCCCTCAGGGTAAGAGCCAACTGGCTCTCTCTGCAAGGGCTTCGAATGTTCAGCTGAGAACCACGGTTCAGAAGGTAACACAAGAGCTAAGACATAGATCAAAGCGATCAATTGTTTTCCCAAAAGAAGTGACGAAAGCATGGCATCGTTCATTTTGATAGAGTCATTTATTTTGTTTACTTCAGTTTAGAGTGTATATTAGGAATGTCTTGTTCCAGGGTCTTGTAGCCCTCCCTTCCCAGAAATGGAGACCAGGAGAAAAGAGAGGAGTTGAGGCGTGGGGGTGGGCTGACCACACACACCAGTGAGGGTCTCTGGTCTGGAGTCTCTGTGCTGTAAAGACTGCTAGCAAGGGGCGGGATTGGTGCCCAGAGCTGGACACCCCAGGGCTCATCCAGTGGCTCCAGCAACCACTCTCTTACCCCACACCCTGTCTCCAGACACCATGGTCTGGATAGAGAATTTGCACGACTACATAAAAAGTGCTACTTTTTAGCCTAGTTTAGCTACTCCTTAGCTGACTTACATATTTGCAAATTTCTAGCATCCTGAATCATTTGAAAAGCTTCTTCAGCAAACGAAACATGCCAGGCACTCGGCTAGATGCTGCTGATAATGTAGTGAGCACAACAGGCAGTCTTTACCTTCTTGAACTTAACTACACTCAACAAAGGAACACAGAAGCTCATCCAAAAAAAAAAAAAAAAAATCACAGTGAACTGGGTTACAAATGAATTCATTATACCTAGAAATGTCTGAACACATTATATAAATCTTGAATATCTGATTTAAGAGACTTATAAATGCATTTACCAGATAATGTAGTTCATATGAAGTGAGACTCTTTAAAAAAAAAAACTTCCTAGAAATGTAATCATTTGTAGGGTTAAATGAGGCAGGATGCTTGACATTTGTGCTACTTTGTTATCTGTTTTTTCAAACAGGCGCCTGCACACCTCTACATCAGAGTTGCGGTAGGGATTGCTCCCTTGTTTGGGTAACAAACAGCCAGGGAGGTCGGTGTGCACACTGGGGTTTGGGGGAAGGAGTTAAAAGGGCAACAGAGATTGTGTTTTCTGAAAAGCTTATCTTGTAGCTAACCTCCAAACTTTGAATATGGTTATGTGGATTAAAAGAAGAGAAACAAAACGCACATAAATTTTATAAGCAACTTTTTGCAAGGTTTTCTTCTTCTCCTTTTTCTCCTTCTCCTTCTTCTTCTTCTCCTTCTTCTCCTTCTTCTCCTTCTTCGCAAACCAAAGTATGAATACTATGTGGTAAATATATAGCACAAACCACATGCTATTTTTTTCTTTGGCAACGTTGGTAGAGGAAAAGCCAATCTAGTCTAGATCTAGTGTTTTTTTTTTTCCTTTTCAATCTGGGCACAGGCAATCTGCAAACATCCAGGAGGCTGATTCATTTTTAACTATTCAATCATGAGTTGAGAATGGAAAAAACTTTTTAAACTCACTGTAATTTTTACACTCTTCTGGGCATTCTTCTCAAATGCATTTAAGGGCACCTGGGTGGCTCAGTCGGTTGAGCGTCCTACTCTTGATTTCAGTTCAGGTCATGATCTCGTGGTTGTAAGACTGAGCCCCTCATCAGGCTCAGTGCCGGCATGGAACCTGCTTAAGATTCTCTCTCTCTCTCTCTCTCTCTCCCTCTGCTCCTCCCCGCAACCCCCCGCCCCCCACACACACACACGTGCGCAAACTCTCACTTTCTCTCTCAAAATAAAATAAATACATAAAAAATAAAAATAAAAATAAATGCATTTAAAACTAAATTCTACTTTTTGCTTCTTGAGGAATTGCATAGCTACCCTGTCCCCACTTTAAACAAAAACAATAAAACTGGCTCCTTCTCATTTTTTACTGTAAACTGCAAACATGTTACTTGATACAAATGATTTCATTCTAATTCAGAGGTATTCAGAAACCCCAAGTCGTTGACACCCCCAACTTTAGTGGAAATAAAAAAAAATCTCTTATTTGGTACCAAGTTCTAACCTAAAGGAGCTGATATGAGTAAACACGTTAAATCAGTGACGGGTCAAACGGAGTCTATTCTCTTAGCTAGAACTTTGAAAGAAGGCCTCAGGCACACATAAAAGTAGGACGAATTGTAGAATGGACTCCACAAACCCATCACCCAGCTTCAACAATTATCAACCCATGGCCAATCTTTTCTCATCTGTAGGAAACCACTTCTCTACCCCTAAAGCTCCCCACTTATTATTTTGAAGCACATTCCAGACATCTTAGCACTTCACTTGTAACTATTTCAGAATGTATCTCTAAATAATCAGAACTCCTTTAGGTATCAGAGGTAGATACTATAACTCAGTAACTTCTTTCCTAAAGAAGATGCCCCTTTAAAAATGCAGTACAGGGGTGACTGGGTGGCTCAGTCAGTTGAGAGTTAGACTTTGGTTCAGGTCATGATCTCACAGTTCCTGAGTTCAAGCCCTGCATCAGGCTCACTGCTGTCAGCACAGAGACTGCTTCAGATCCTCTGTCCCCTCTCTCCTTGATCCTCCCCCACTCGTGTTCTCTCTCTCTCTCAAAAATAAATAAACATTTTTTAAAATGCAGTACAAAATGGGGTCCAGAGTAATGGTTAATATATTTTGCATAAGTCTTTAAAAAACCCCAATCTTTATGGCATTTAGGAAAACTGTACTTATGAAATCTGATGACATTAAATCTCCAAAATGAAAATTTTCTAGCTGGGCTTACTAATTTGCATGGTTTTGTTGTTTTTGTTTTGTTTTGGGAAAAATGGGGTTGAGAATTTCACTATCACCCATGTAATATCAAGACTGCTAAGTTATAATGAGCGACCATCAG